CAGAGCATCCCGTTTGCCTCTCACGGTGCTGCCCGAGGACTGACGGTGACAAAACTCCAGATGCCGGCGGCCCGACTCGCGGTGAAAATCATGTCTGTCTGGCGAAAGACGGCCTGTGACCCCCCCAGGGTACCGCCTTCCCTTGTAGTACAGAGATCCGTACAGTGTCCAAGGGGACGAAGGGTCTTGAGAAACATTTCATCCCAGTCACAGCAAATGAAGAAGCCTTGTGACATCTAGTTTGACTGACAACACCTCTCTGAGGACCCCCATTATTTTTGTTCCAGTTTGGTGCCCAGAAACGCTAGCCTCTGGGGAATTCGAATTTTCAAACCTTCAATATTTGCTAGCAAAAATGCAGCCCTTCTCCTGCGTGAAACCATTCTGTCCATAGAAACATTAATGAAATCGACATAGCTTCAGGCAAATCCTTCTCATGGTGGCCTGGGATTCATTTTTTATTCTGTCTGATATTTATTCATTAACGGTCAAATTCTTGGTGCTCCAGGAACCTCCTGCAATCACTACCCACAGATCACAGTGTTCCAATTCCTGTAGCAACAGGTCTGTAAAGACAAGGAAGGAAGGAAGGAATGCCTGCGAGAATACCGGAAGTGGGGAGGATCCCGCCACAGTCCCAAACATCTGCTTGAAATTTGGGTGCCTGTCACCCTCTTCCTACTTTGTCCCATTAATTCCAGGTCTAGAAAATTCTGCCCTTCTCTATTTGCCAGCAGTAGACGCTTCTGAGCGCCCCTTATCTCATCCCTATTAAGAAAAGATAAAAAGCCCTGAGAAGTTCCCAAGGCAAACCCCTTCTTACTACTCCGTTTATTGTGCGCTCCATGAAGGAGGAGGTCTGTGAGGGTGAAGGGCCTGTGTCAATAACTATTATCAGAAGGCCTCTGCACATGATTCTCTCTTATTATTGATTCTGTGGGGGGGAATTCTCCCCAAAGAGTCCCTTCTTTTCAGAGGCAGCCGTCCTTGAAAAGGACCCTTCCGACCTGACTGGAAGTCTTCGCTGATTCCGATTGTATTGTCTGAACGGCATTAGCTGGCAAAGAGGACTTTCCAGGAGGAAGAAAGTGGTCTGTGAAGAGAAGGAAGTTTGCCGAGTGAGGACCTTGGGCTAACAATAATGACTGGAATCCAAGGGGTTGGGGGCTTGTTTGCTTTCCCATTTACTCTCTACAGGGTCAGAAACTACAACCTTACATGACTGTTTTTTTCTGTAACTTCTCTAGATTAATTTAAAAAACACTCATTCATCTCTTCATCCAGCAAAAATGTCTTGAGCATCTGCTGTATGCAACATGCTGATTGTGTTCACGAGCAAAACAGAAACATTTCCTTCCCCGGGGGGGAACACACATTCTAGGGAGACGAGACAGACCGTACATACAACCAAGAAATAAATTGCAGGGGGGGGTTGAGATTTGAACAGGGGGGTGAGGACAGACCTCTTTGAGAAGATAACATGAGAGCAAAGGAAACACCAGGAGACATGCATATACCTGAACTGTTCCTGAAACAGCCATGAGGACAGTGTGGCTAAGAGCAGAGGGCAAGTGTGAGGGTAACAGGAGACCAGCATTCCTATGTGTCAGGCTCTGTCTTGGGCCCTGGGAAAGCAGAAAACTGTATGGCAAGTCCCTTATATCCCTTGAGGGGGACCATTGTATATAGGAGACAGACAAGCAGGTAACAGCCAGCAGGTGCTGATAGAATAAGAGTAACCTTTATCGAGAACTCATCACCTACACATTACTCTCAGTGGTGTTCGCAAAGACCTTGACACCTGAGTCCCATCGTAGGTTTTCAAATCGCTGGAAATCTGAACGAGTACAGAGCTGTATCTGCGCTGTGGTCATGTCTACACAGGGCAGTGTAGGGAGATACTAGAAACGGCGGGAAACCTTTTCAGAGGAATTCACCCTCTGGTGATGTTCTGAAAGATGGGAAGATAAATGCTGAGCGTCTGGGAGCAGAGGGAGGCCTAGGGCCTGAGGAATCCACAGAACAGAGCCCTGCAGGCCCCGGGAGCAGGTGCTGGACGTGAAGGCAGGTTGAGGTTCCACGGCTGGAGTATGGGGTGAAGGTCCCCAGGCAAGGGCTCACAGAAGCTGCGCACCAGCAAAGGGTCTGGACATCATGCTAAGGGCAAGGAGGAGCCCATGAAGGCTCTAAAAAGGGAGTTAATGGGAAATTCATTCTATGCACTCTCTGGTGGCTGTAGAAGTTGTGGAAATATCCATGGAAAGTCCAGCCCCCTGCAAAACACCTCCGAGCCTGGGTGTTCTTGTTTGTTCTCTCTGGACCCTGGACAGGTCTTCCTCCCCACAGGGGTGCACACAGGCTATGTGGGACTGGAGAAGAAGGGGGAGAAGCTGGCTGGGGCTTGAATCTAGGGAAGAGGAGCTGGTATGCTCAGTCTGGGAGTGGACACATCTGGGTGTCACCCGGGAGTCCCTACGGAGGCCTGACAGCAACTAGTGCTCAGATAGACCAAGCCCTCTGACCCTTCCAAGAAAACGATGCCTTGGAATCTCTTTTTTCTTTACATCACATACTTGCCGGCAAGGACATTCTAATGACTTGAGACTGGTGATCTGACGTTTCTTGTGAGCACCTTGTAGCCACATGAGGCTCATGTTCCATGTAGCCCTTCTGTGGTTTCCCTGACATCTAAGTGCCTTCTGGTTGCCCGTGGAGTGTTGTCAGCATTTTAAGCTATGTCCAAGGCCCAGCTTATTAGCAGTCTTCCAAGACCAGGTTCTCTTCCTTGGCTTTTGGTTTTGGTGGACTGGTAGCATTATTCACTCAGGCTGGAAACTAGAGGTCATATCTGTCTTCCTGGATTCTTCTCTCTCTCTCTCTTTTTAAAGATTTTATGTACTTATTTGAACGAGAGAGAGCGTGTGCATGAGCAGGAGCAGTGGGGAGAGGTAGAGGGCGATGGAGAAGCAGACTCCCTGCTGAGCTCCATCCCAGGACCTGGGATCATGACCTGAGACAAGGAGGTGCCCTGGATTCTCTTCTCTTGTTTAGACTTCCCATCCAGCTGACCCCCATCTTGTCGCTCTCTCACTCAACTGAAATGCTTCTCCATGCCTTGTCCTCCTCTCCAGCCCCTTCACCTCTTTCTTCTGACCCTGTGTGCTGTGGTCAACTTTTTAAAACATAGAGCTGAGTGTGTCATTCCCCTTTTACCTCTCCCTATTGCCCACAGAATGAACAACCCAAAGCTCTTCAAAAGACCACCACAGCCTACTTTTCCAGCATTCTCTTTCACTCCCTCCTCTGAAGTTCCAAACCACACAAGATTTACCCACAATTTCTTGGACCTGGTACTGCTTTCCCATTTCTGAATTTGCTTTTGCTGTTGCTTTCCCAGTGAACCTTTACTCATCCTCTAAAATCCACCTCAGGGGCACCTGGGTGGCTCAGTCATGAAGCATCTGCTTTCGTCTCAGTTCATAACCCTAGGGTCCTGGGATCCAGGGGTCCTGAGCCCCGCATCAGACTCCCTGCTCAGCCTGCTTCTCCCTCTACAAGGCCCCCTGCTTCTGTTCCTTCTCTCTGTCAAATAAATAAGATCTTTAAAAATAAAAAATAAAGTCCACTTCGAATGCTACATCCTTTCTGCATCTTTTCCACATGTCTCATGCACTAGTGGGTCCCACAAGAGGACGATGTGTGTGTTGGGGTTTATCACTGATGTGGTTCTGGAGTATAGGTGAGGTTGGGTGGGGTGGAGCCAGGAGCTGAGGACCAAGAAAGAATTCTTGAGACGATTTGGTGCAGAATGGTGGTTTATTAAAGCACCAAGACAGGACCCATGGGCAGAAAGAGCTGGGCTGTGAGGGGTGGCTGATTATAGACTATGGGGTTGGGGAAGTGAGGAAAAAGGGAAGTTTCAAAGGATATTTACATGTTAAAGAAGACCTACAGGATACCACCTTGCCATTGTCAAGCTAAGGTTGTTTTCCCCCACTAGCAAGGCATTAACAGTAAGATAGTTGGGAGATTCCTGGAAGAGTGTCACACGTGTCCCCCCCCCCCCCGAGGAGTGGGGGGAGGGAAGAGGCCGCAGGTGACAGCTCACGCTTGGTCTTCAGCCAGTCCTTCTGCTCCCTCATCATCACCCTCCAAGAAGCCTGTAACAGGACATGTGTCCTTGAGCACCAATGTCCCTGTTGGCCTTGGGTTTCTCCTTCTCTTCAAGCATTTAAACAGATTTAGTGCCTGTATGTGTACCCTGGAGGCCTGTGTGCTTTTTGGGAATAAAGTCTAGGTGTTCTACATCCACAGCACATAATAGTTACTCACTTAACGCATTTGTCCTCTAGCCAACCTGTGACATTCAGACACACTTCATAAGGATCTTACAGAGAAGAACAGGGCAAAATGGTTGTCATGCTTTTTTAGTTTTCTCTCACTACTGCTAGTTATTATGAGTTGGCTTACAAGGCTAGCAGGCTAAAACAGCAAAAATATCCCTTTGTCTAAAATTGACTTTATAGACAAAACCCTGAAATGAGGTTACATTTGGGTTTTCTCACCATACTCTCTCCCCTCTCTTGTCCTAATGGTGCACATCCTTGCCTGGATCCTTCCTTTTCTTCGCTCACTGTGCTCTTGCCCTGCTCCCGTCGCTGCCCCGCGGCGCCTTTTGTGGGTACTGAGCATCCCCAGCATTTATTAGGCAACGGGGAGCGGCAGACACTGTTGGAGCCAAGAGACCGACGTGAGCAGAGTCAGCCAAGGTCCCCAGACTCAGGAACTTCCCCCACCCCGTTTCCATGGACCAACGAGGGGCGCGTTGTCCGCAGATGGACAAGCAAACGGAAAGCTAGGAAGGAGCGCCCGGCTCCGAAAGGGGCCTCGTGCCCGGCAACGACGGGGGCGGTCCCGTGCCCGGCTCCGACGCGGGGACCTCGTGCCTGGCCCCCAGCGCTCCGAGAGCCGAGAGGGGGCCCTGGGGAGACTCGGGCAAGATGGAGGCGCTGTCCCGGCCCGCGGTCTCTCCGCTCGCCGCACGCCGACTTCCCAGCGGAGCGAAGGGCGGGCCCTGCCAGGGCAAGGCGGGAGCAGAGCTCCCTGCGGCCGCCCGAGTCCCGCCGTCGCGCCCGTTTCCTCCGCCTTTGTGCGCGGACGGCCCCCTTTTCCTCGCGGCCCGGAGAAACCCGCGGCCGGGGGGCTTCCAAGAGGTCTGCGGGGCGGGAGCTCGGAGAGGCCGAGGAGTCGGCGGGCCCGAGGTGGACACCCAGCGGGCGGAGGCCGGGCGGCGGGAACCGAGCGCCTCCCGAGCCCGGCCTGCGGCGCGCGGAGAAGGGGCCTGGGGGGGACCGGGGAAGGGGGGGGATCCGGGGAGGGGGCGATCCGGGGAGGGGGCGAAGGGTGATGGACAGTCGGTGTCCTCCAATGGCGTCCTCCCCAGGGCGCGGCGCAGGCCAATGAGCGGAGCTCGGGGGCGGGGCCTGGGGCGGGCGCGCGGCGCGCAGGGGCCGGGGGCGCGGGCGCGGGCGCGGGCGGCGACGAGGACCCGGCGCGGTCTGGAGCCGAGCGGAGCGCAGTGGGGACGGCGGCCCGGGGCGCGGCGGCGGCGGCGGCGGGGGACGATGGCAGCGCCCGCGGGAGTCGTGGCGGGGCGGGCAGATGCGGCCCGCAGGCGCTGGCTGTGGTCGCTGTTGGCGGCGGCGCTTGGGCTGTGTGAGTGGTGCCATGGCCGGGGCGGGGTGGGGGGGGCGGCGGGGCGGGGGGAGGGGCGCGGCGGGCGGCGGGGCGGGGGGAGGGGCGCGGCGGGGCGCCGAGGGGGCGCCGAGGGGGGAGGGGCGTGGCGGGGGGCTCCCGGGGCCTGCGGCTGGGGGGCGAGGGCCGGGCTCCCCGTCTTGCTCCCGCCCGCCCTGCCCGCGTATGGCCCGGGGTCGCCCCGGCCCCGCTTCGGGGGTTCGGGCTCGGGCGGCTCGGGGTGGCGCGGTCGCCGCCTGTGGGTGCCGGCGGAAGGTCGCGGGGTTCCTTGCGCGGGGCCTTTGTGGGCGGTTGTGTCGGCCTGAGGGAACGTTTGGTCTCGCCTCGGAGGTGCGGTTCGGTCGAGTCGGGCTCGCCCGCAGGCCCCAACGCGCCCCCGTCCCCGTTTCTCTCGTTCGCGAAGCGCCGGGTGCGTCGCAGTGGCTGCGCTCGGGCTTTCCCGGCGGGGCGGCCCTTCCTGTGGTCTCTGGACCCGGGCAGGCTCGTTCACGCGGCGATCCTGGGGCGGGGCGATCCCGGCGGCGGCGACGCACCGAGGGGAAGGCCTCACCTCCGCAGGTCGCAGGTCTGTGCTCCGTCTCTTTTGAGGACGGGTTCAGAGTGCGGCCAGGGTGGTGAGACCTGTTTTTGGTTTTTAGTTTTATTTACTTATTTGACAGAGAAGAGCACAAGTTGGCAGAGGGGAAGGGGGACGCAGGCTCCCCGCCGAGTGGAGAGCCCGATGCGGGGCTTGATGCGGGGCTCGATCCCAGGACCCCGAGATCAAGACCTGAGCCGAAGGCAGAGGCTTGACCCAGGGAGCCACCCAGGCGCCCCCAATCCTTGTGTTTTAAGCAAACAAGTTAGGAAATAGACTAAAAATGAGGTGATGAGAAATGCTGTGCCTCCTACGGGACGGGTGGGCGCTGCTACTGAGGGCGCGGCCGTGAGGCGGTCTTCGTTAGGCTCGAGCACCGCAGGCAGAACTGAAAAACTGGGTGTTCGTGGACGTTCCTGTGAAAGATCGTCAGAACAACAGCTTCACGCAGCTCGGCCGCGCCCAGCTCCGCAGTAAGGGAAGAGGGTGGAGAGAGGAGGGTGTCTCATGAAGCAGTAGCTAGTGTTTGCTTAATTTTGGAAGACAATGGCAAGTTTTTTCTTGCCAAGTCACCTTTTCTGGCCGTAGACGGTGTGCACAGAGAGCAGTCCACTTTTATAGAAAACCTTCCAGAGTTTGGTCGAGATACAGTTATCCAGCAAACACTTATTAAGCACCGTGTAGGAATTAAGCACCAAAAGTGCTCTAGGAAGGACAGTCCCTGCCTTCCCGTAATTTACATCAGTGGGAGAAGCACCGGTTAGTAAGATGAGAAATCCCCTTTGAGAGCCGTGTGCCGCGAGAGCCCTAAGGAGGGCCATCCTCCCAGACTGGACTTGGGCCACCACAGGAAGACACGTGTAGCTGAGTAGGCATGGGGCAAGGAAACAGTGGAAGCAGAGTCCTGAATGGACCTGTCGGTCGGTCAGTGTGGTGGGAGGTTGGAGTTACAGTGCGAGAGAGATGAGGGGAAGTTGAGGCCGGAGGGCCAGCCAGAGGCATTAACTCAAAAAGGACCTAGTTTGCCGTATGTGAGGCTGGATGAAGGATTTCTTTCTCTGTGGAGACGTGAAGAATGGGCTGGAGTGTGAGAGACTGAAGAAACCAGAGGCTTTAATAATCCCAAGGAGGAGACCGGAGATGTGAATTAAAGCAGTGGCCTGTGAAAGGGGGACACGCTGGTGACCTGTTAGAAAGTACGTTGGATCGGGCTTGCATATTGATTTGCTTGAGCGAAAGGTGATCCTCAGGTTCGGGGCTAGGGAAGCTGGGCCCATTTTTGGCAAGTGGGGCTTCTCACAGATGAATGTGGGCTTGAGGGAACAGTGATGACGAAGTTACCTTCGGGTTTGGTGAGTTTCAGGTGCTGCTGAGACACCCTAATAGAAGTGGGTGGAAGACAGGGGGCTAGGTGGTTCTGGAGGTGAGAAAGTTCAGGTTGGAAATACAGATTTGGAAGGTATCATGTAGTTAGTAGTTAAATCTGTGGATTGTTTCGATGAGGTCACCACTGAGAGTGTGTTGAAGGAAATAGAGAGGGCCAAGGACAGAGCCGGGGGTACGTGGAACCAAGAAGGAGGTCTGATGAGTACATGAACTGGAAGAATGAGGCGTCTTAGAAATCAAGAGGGAATGAAGTTTGGTTTTTTTCCTTAAGATTTTAGGTATTTATTTGACAGAGAGAGAGATCACAAGTAGGCAGAGAGGCAGGCGGGGTGGGGGGAGCAGGCCCCCTGCTGAGCAAAGAGGCTTAACCCCACGGAGCCACCCAGGCGCTCGCTCCAAGAGGGAATGAAGTTTTAAGCAAGAGGGAGTGGTTAACCATGTCAGAAGCGTTGAAATAGGAGGAGGGTTCACTGGGTTGGGCAATTGTCGTGTCTTTGGCAGCCCATCTGTAGGAGTGAACACACAGGGCGCCTGGGGGGCTCCGTGGATTAAGACTCTGCCTTCGGCTCAGGTCATGATCCCATCCGGCTCTCTGCTCAGCGGGGAGCCTGCTTCCCCCTCTCTCTCTGCCTGCCTCTCTGCCTACTTGTGCTCTCCCTCCCTCTCTCTCTCAAATAAATAAATAAATAAAAATCTTAAAAAGCAGAAGGGAGTGAGCACACAGTGTATGAAGACTGGATCTCAGAAATCCGCACCACCCTCCTCAGTAAGCGGCACCGCCGCTCACCTAACTGCTGGGCCCAGGAGCCTAGGGTCCGCCCGCGATTCCTCCCGGTCCTTCATCGAGCCCCACATCTGCAAAATGCGTTTCAGATTCACCCACTGTTTTTCTATGAGCATTTTAATCAAAATCACCGAACTGCAAGAATGATTTTTTTTTAAAAGAGGATTTTTTTTTAAGATTTTATTTATTTATTTGATAGACAACACAGCGAGAGAGGGAACACAAGCAGGGGGAGTGGGAGTGGGAGAAGCAGGCTTCCCACTGAGCAGGGAGCCCGATGCGGCCCTGGGATCATCACCTGAGCCGAAGGCAGAGGCTGAACGACTGAGCCCGCCCCCAGGCGCCCCTGCAAGAATGATTTTTATGAAAATGGAATCAGATCATCTTGCTTTCCTGTTAAAAGGCCTTAATGGCTTCCCCTTACACTCCGAATGGCGCACGAGCTTCTCCCCGTGGGCTGCAGTGCTCTGCGGGATCTGGTTTCTGCCTCTCTGCCTTCCGCTTGTGCCATGCCTGGTGCTCCGTAGTCCGGCCCACGGCGGCCTTCCGCTCTTCGATGTTCGTTCCCGGCTCCGCCCCTTCGCACCTGCGGTTCTGGCCGCCTCTTCCTGCTCCTTCCCCGGAATGCCCGGAGCGGTCTCCTCCTCATCCGCGAGGCCATAATGTCGCTTTTCCAGAGGCCTCCTTCCAGCCACCTGCCCAGCGGAGTTCCCTGTTGCCATTTCCTGGTCCTTTGTTTTCTTCTTTGTTGGAATTTGTAACTGCTTGGTTTTTCTTTTTTCCTCTCTGAGAATCCAGGACAGAGACAGTGTTTGTCTTATTTATGGAAATATTCCTAGTGCTGGGACGCCGGTGGCTCAGTCGGTTAAGCGTCTGCCTTCGGCTTGGGATATGATCCCAGGATGGTGGGATTGAGTCCTGCGTGGGGCTCCTTGCTCGGGGCGAGTCTGCTTCTCCCCCTGCCTGTTGCTCCCCTACTTGTGCTCTTTTTCTCTCTGACAAATAAATAGATAAAATCTTTTGAAAAAACTTATTAAAGAAATATTCCTAGTGCTTAACACAGTGGATATGATGGACGCTAATGTTTGTTAAAGGGCAATGAGGCACAGGTATGTCTCCATAACAGTTTGTTAGTAGTTTAAAGTAAACAGGAATTAGCCTGGCATATGGTGGGTACCCAATAAATGTGTCTTGAAAAAAGGAATCTTTTTCCCAAGTGTGAATTTATGTATTATCTGGATATTTTCACTCTTTAAGTACCATTTCATATTTCTTCAGAAATGTATGCAATGAGGGGCCCTGGTGGCCCAGTCGTTAAGCCTCTGCCTTAGGCTCAGGTCATGATCTCAGGGTCATGGGATCAAGCCCCACATCGGGCTCTCTGCTCAGCAGGGAGCCTGCTCCCCCTCCCCCCGCCCCCACCTGCCTCTCTGTCTAATTGTGATCTCTCTCTGTCAAATAAATAAATAGAATCTTTAAAAAAAAAAAAAAAGAAATGTATGCAATGAATTAACATTCTTCAACTACTTCAACTACTGGTTTCAGAATTAGTAGTTATTATATATTTAAATTATTTTATCATGTTTGTTGTAGCCCTCAAGTGTTTCATCAATAGGACTTTTGTTTGATGCTTGTTGACAAAATTCAGACTTGAGACACTACCTCTTCAGTCAGAAAGCCACAAATTTCAATACTAATTCCCTCAGCTTTGTTCTTATTTACTAGTTGGGATACTAAAACAAACACTCCTGGGGTGTCTGGGCGGCTCAGTCCTTAAGCATCTGCCTTCTGGGATCTGCCCCCAGCCACTTCTCCCTCTCCTTCTGCCCCTTTCCCTGCTTGTTCTCTCTCTGTCTTTCTAATAAATAAATAAAATCTTGAAGAAAATTTAAAAATAGATTAGCCCTTAAAAAATATTCTGTCACTTGTTTTAACCCTTACTCTAGGATAGTCACTAGGCTCAGAGACTGCCAAAAGAAGAAATAAAGACGAATCTTAAGTGAAAGAGATCTGTGTGAAAAGTACGTGACATGAAGATTTGTGTTTTTATAGAGCACAGGCACTAAATGAACACCTGTTGGGTGCCCTGTGTTGTTTTAATTCTGGGGATGCAGTAGGGAGACTGGATCCTACATGATGCACATACTGAAAATGAATAGTAAAGGACCGATTAAATTCCTGGCAGTCACCACTTTAAAGAAAATGATTCACCTGTTAAGGAAAATATGATTCACCTGTTATAAAACTTTGCAGAATTAAAAAAAACTATAGAACACTTATTTGTATTACAAAATAGATATTTTTTAAATTTATAAATGATACACTGTGGGATTTCATTAATGGCTGATCTTTCCTACTGAGTTTTTAAAATGTGCTTTGATTGGGGAAGACTTTTTTCAAAAATATTGTTGCATGCCCTCCATCTAGAAATGTTGGCCTCCCTGGTAAATATTTCTCACATTCCTTTCTCTTCCCACTGACGCTGATTTATGTGATTCCATGGTCACATTTTTCCTGGATGATTAGAATCTTCTACAGGGCCCCAAGGGTGTTTTTATTTAAGTTGTATCTTTTATCTGAGAATTTGAATTCTCTGTGTAAGACATGCATCTCACGTGTACCTAAACCTCGCAAAGACTTTAATCTTGTTTTCTATGACCACTAGCATCATTTGAAATGAGAAAATAAAGAATTTGCTCTGACAGAATGTATTATAGATTAGTTTGGTCTTTCGGCTCCATGAAAGGGAATTTAATTATTAGAAAAACCAGAAGTGTCTGCTGAGGTCTCAAGTATCATATGGCCCCAGGTCTTGGTCCCTACGGCTGATGAAATAGGAAGCTTTCAAGTATCTTGAGTGATTTTCCTTTCTTTTTTTTCCACTCGTTTTGCCAAGTGCTTAATACTAGAAATGCCCTAGAGTCCAGACCACAGTCCTTGGGATTTCAGCTGCCATAAGAGGACAGAGACCAGTTGGCCTTGGGACCATTCATAGTGCCTAAAATGAGAAATTTAATTGTCTCTTGGGACCTTTGTATCTTTGCCCTTGAACCTCTTTATTCAA